CTTGCCATTTCTCACATAATTTTATAATTGTCTTTTTAGTCATTCAACAGTAACAGCCGGAATTTCCAGAGACTACTCATAACAAACAATCAATAACACTGTCACATAAATTAATAATACCTCTGGGTTGCCTAGAGAACTTTGCAAGCTAAATTTGTGCCTTCTAATTCATATAATACTTTTATTAATTATTACAGGTTCTGATATATAATATATGAATCACTCTTATCACTTCAAGAACATTATTGACAGTTTCCAAATTGTTCACAATGTCTATACAACTCTGATGGTCAGGGAAACATTACAGTACTCTTTTCTCTTAAACATCTGCTTAATATTCCCTCCTCTTAACCTCTTTTAAGCTTTTGTCCTCAATCAGAAGTTCACTCGCTGCAGAACAGAAGCAAGCTAGAGACTGAAAATCCTGAAGGATGCAGTAAGTTTCAGAACTTATTTCCTACCAGACATAAAATGCAATTCTGTTTGGAACTAAGGACACAAGCCAAAGCTTCTGACCCTTCTTCTGTAATTGAATGTTTTAACATAATCTCTTTCTCCCTCAGCTTACAAAACATTCATACCTTTGCCCTAGATCAAGTGCCACTGCATTAAATACACAGCTGAAGATTTCAAGATATACATACAAAAGAATACCCCCTCCCCCTTTAACAATAGAACCTTACTTATTTCATGGAATAATTTTTCTTGTGATATACTGAATTTTAAACAAACTCAAAAAAAAAAAAAGAAAAGAAACACCATTAATTGACATAATGCCAGGGGAACTCAGAAAAGTACATCACTATTCATGCAGATGAAACTGACACCTAGAATGATGGAGTCTTGAGAAATGGACTACAATCCAAAATTTACTTATTTGTTTCATTTCTAGACTCTTTTTTGGGGTGAGACATTTATGCAGCTCACAATGATTAAAATAAATTAGACTAAAAGCACAGTAAATTACAAAGTTACAACACAATTAAACATATAATAGTAAGCTTAAAGTTATTCAACTTTAAAAGCTTTAAAAACACACTTAAAAGGAACATACAACCAGCATCTGGAAGGGGCTAATCTTGCCCAATTTAGTTATTAAAAGCTTGACTAAAAAGGCAGATCTTTGAATGCAATCAAAAAGATAAATGGGACAGGGTCAGCCTCCAAAGGGAGGGCATTCAATAATCTGTGAGCAGCCACAGAGAAGCAACTGGATCAAGAGAAAGGCCTCCCCGAAGATCTTAGAAGCCAGGATGGCTCATATGGTGGCATGTTCCAGTGTAGCCAAACTGGACATCTCAAGCAATGGGTGTAGCTGGCTCATCCACTTTAGTTGTCCAAAAATGAATTCCTGGCCACCACTGAAACCTGGTCCTCCAAGCTCAGGAATGAGTATATTCAACGTGCAGACAAGCTGAGTTCCTATTCCCTCGCCTTTTGACTGACCAGAAGCACCTTTGTCACATCTAAATTAAGTTTCAAGTTGTTTGCCTCCATCCAGTCCACTACTGACACAAAGCACTGGTTTAGAACCAAGAGAGCTTCCTTAGAGATGAACAGAAACTTACTCAAGTTGCTAGTTACTCAAACCTTTGCATGTATGCACTATTATCTTGAATATTAAGTCACTCTTTGTAGCTGCTGTTTGTTTAAAAGGGTGGCATTTACACTAAGGACACAAGCCAAAGCTTCTGACCCTTCTTCTGTAATTGAATGTTTTAACATAATCTCTTTCTCCCTCAGCTTACAAAACATTCATACCTTTGCCCTAGATCAAGTGCCACTGCATTAAATACACAGCTGAAGATTTCAAGATATACATACAAAAGAATACCCCCTCCCCCTTTAACAATAGAACCTTACTTATTTCATGGAATAATTTTTCTTGTGATATACTGAATTTTAAACAAACTCAAAAAAAAAAAAAGAAAAGAAACACCATTAATTGACATAATGCCAGGGGAACTCAGAAAAGTACATCACTATTCATGCAGATGAAACTGACACCTAGAATGATGGAGTCTTGAGAAATGGACTACAATCCAAAATTTACTTATTTGTTTCATTTCTAGACTCTTTTTTGGGGTGAGACATTTATGCAGCTCACAATGATTAAAATAAATTAGACTAAAAGCACAGTAAATTACAAAGTTACAACACAATTAAACATATAATAGTAAGCTTAAAGTTATTCAACTTTAAAAGCTTTAAAAACACACTTAAAAGGAACATACAACCAGCATCTGGAAGGGGCTAATCTTGCCCAATTTAGTTATTAAAAGCTTGACTAAAAAGGCAGATCTTTGAATGCAATCAAAAAGATAAATGGGACAGGGTCAGCCTCCAAAGGGAGGGCATTCAATAATCTGTGAGCAGCCACAGAGAAGCAACTGGATCAAGAGAAAGGCCTCCCCGAAGATCTTAGAAGCCAGGATGGCTCATATGGTGGCATGTTCCAGTGTAGCCAAACTGGACATCTCAAGCAATGGGTGTAGCTGGCTCATCCACTTTAGTTGTCCAAAAATGAATTCCTGGCCACCACTGAAACCTGGTCCTCCAAGCTCAGGAATGAGTATATTCAACGTGCAGACAAGCTGAGTTCCTATTCCCTCGCCTTTTGACTGACCAGAAGCACCTTTGTCACATCTAAATTAAGTTTCAAGTTGTTTGCCTCCATCCAGTCCACTACTGACACAAAGCACTGGTTTAGAACCAAGAGAGCTTCCTTAGAGATGAACAGAAACTTACTCAAGTTGCTAGTTACTCAAACCTTTGCATGTATGCACTATTATCTTGAATATTAAGTCACTCTTTGTAGCTGCTGTTTGTTTAAAAGGGTGGCATTTACATTAACTACAGATCAACAGACATTAAAGCTCCAAGACAGCAAGTTAAATAATGCCAGTCTACACAGCCCTTACACAGAAGGATCACTATGAACCAGGCAGATTTTTTTGATGTAACTGTTCTACTTGAAAGCTATAATCATTCCCTTAAAAATGCTGAAAAAGCACACTTTGTAAAACCTAAAGCATGGTTATGAAACAGCTTTAAAGGGATTTCTCCTCTTAGTTACAGCCCTGCTACTGGTTTTGGAGCCTTCTGACAAAATCCTCAAAGAATAACTTTACTGAAATTATGTAATTTGTTTTTCAGATTGCATGGGTAATCAGATACACAATTTAAAACCAGGAAGTGGTGTGGCCTAAAGCTATATACAAACACATTCATTTATGCCTATTGTGAAAACAACAACCCCATTGTAAAGGTGAATGCACTCACTGGTCTTCCCAACTTTTTACATGAACAGCCTCTCATCCTGTTTTAATCATGACACTGACTGCCAGACAACTATAACAATAAACGTTGTAAGATATCATCAACCACAACCCCTCATGTACTTGATTCCTTACTAAAATTGCTCTGGTTGCTTCACACATATTTAAACACACAGTCCAAATAGCAAGGCAAGGGTGGTGGCAGGAAGGACAGTTGTTCACAAACACAGCTGTTTGCAAACCATTGACTGTATATTTGTATTATTTTTTTCCAATCCTACTGCACAGGAATTCAGGTAAATATCTCACATCACCAGGGAAAGTGGAGATCCATCCCATGGAACCACATTCCCATCTCCCTCATTCACCAGGTGTAGCTTGTGGGGAAAAACACAAAGGGCCACTGGATGAGAATGCAGATGAGGAAGAGAGGATGGTGAATGGGAGAGAAAGGAAGGAGGCAAAGCACAGGAAGGGCAATGGGCAGGAAGCAGAAACAGTCCACAGGTAGAGAGGAAACAGAAAAACAAGGAAGCCCTTACTCACAAGGTAGAAAAGAGGAAAGGAAACCCAGGACAAACCCAGGGTGTAGAGAGAGAACAGAAAAACCTTCCTCATACAAGTTATCCCAAAGCTGGACAGGAGAGCATGAATGAATCAAAGGAACAAACAGAATAAAGGACAGGAAATGGGATATACAGGTAGGGCAAGTGGATCTTTTTGACCTTAATTTTTATCACCTTTCAGTATAACACAGCAAGATTCACTTCTGAGTCACCACGTCTAAGGCAGGACCCTTCACAGGCATCCTGTGATTCATGCAAGCTAAATTCACAATATGTGTATTTGTCTTCAACTGTGCCAGAAAACTGTCATATCTTATCCTGTGCACACTTACGAGAGTGCAAGAAAGAAATCAGTGAAAGACAACTTCTTTGAGAAAGAGAGCGAGAGAGAAGAAAGCACCTCACCAGGTGTGAAGAAAGGGAACCAGGGTGAGGGACATCTGCACCTCCCTGAGCTCCTTGGGAAAAGGGTATGAGAAAAATGTAATAAATACAACGAGTAACCAGAGGAGTGGGAGCAGAGAAGGGCAGCACGTTAACCGCAAAAAGCCCTACCATGAAGAGAAGGCAGAAGAGGAAGAGGGAACAAGTCCTTCCAGCAAAGCTCAGAGAGCCTGCTCGTGGGCGTGTAAAACCGAGGGGAAAACAAACGAAATGCCTCCTCACACAAACAAGCGTAAAGCCATTACGGTCAATGGGATTCCCTCTTTGGGAAATGTGTGTAAGATATCAGAGGAAGCCACCCTTCCCTTAACGTGTG